TCCTGAATGTCCAATGGTTAATATTTCAAGCATATTTAGCACGAAAAATATTAATGATTAATACAATAGGTAGATTTTCCAAAGTAGGAAGAGCAGGGAATATGGACTGCCACTTTAAATGAAAGTACAATGTATGTTAGAAATTTTGGCAGAGTTCCTCATTTTTACCTGACGATGCTACATATGTATATATCCAGCTGTATGGACACTTCTTCTAAGCAAGGGTTTATCTGCCGGACTAGAGAAGTTGTGGGAAGATTATATTTCTATACCCATGTTAACTTTACGGGTGCACTTAAAAACTGTGATCTACCTATTACCAGCTTGGTATGCCTGAACTTTATTTAAGAATTGAATACTTCTTTTTGCTACTTATTGGGATGTTAAACTTTGACAAAAGCATAATTTGTATAAAACACGTAAGCCAAAAGTGTGCGCACATCAACGCTTTAACAACCTTATACAATTACAAAAAGAAGAATTCATATCTTATAATCACATCTTTATGATACAACCATGAAATTTTTGTAATTTTAAACTCTAGTGTGTTTTCCTCTGCATTTTGTGACGTAAGCACGGGAAAAACGTGCTGTCATGAATGTTGTATTTCATTAGGAAATAAAATTCAATTTTGGAATGCCAACCAATCAAAGGTATGGATTCTTTGAAACACATATGTAATATATTAGTTAGAGAACGATACTAGTAATAACGTAACTGTGCATCAGGAGGGTCAAAAAAGTCTCCAAACATCAAATAAAAAATTGCCATTCTAATGTTGTTCTGCAATAACTAACTCGACTTTGATGTTGGGAGCATTTATGCAATGTATAAATTACTCTGTAAAGATCCTAACAAAGGAGGAGAGTTAATAAAACGTTATCGGCTTAACTTTATTTACATGTTATCCTAAGCTCACCTGAGTCTGATCCAAGGGTCAATTAAAGCTTAACCAACTGCTCCTTTAGATCATATTGGAATTTAGAACTCGATAATCATTAGAGGACAAACTCTATTGTCGAAAAGGTACCAAAAACGAATACCGAATTCAAAGTTGAAGCGTAACCTTCACTACTGACTGTAAAAGAGAGGCAACGGAGACCAAAGGGACATCCAAATCCATTAGTCGAAATAAACTGACAACACCATGGGTAAAAAAGAATTTTGTAATTTTGCTTGTGTATTTTTTTTTTTTTGGGGGGGGGGGGGGGGTTGAAAGTAAATCAAAAGTTTCTCTCAACCGAGTGTTATAAATATTGTTTATTATATCATTATGTATGAAGTATTAAGGTAGTTCAGTCTTTGGTACCACCTTGGTAGATTTTGAGGGTCATAGGCTTAATCTCCAACTGGGTCAAACCAAAGATGTAATGCTTCTCCGCAAAACATGCGAGAAATTGTAAAATAACAGCTAAAGATGATAAGATCCTATTCAAAATACTAGGTACAGGTTACCATTATTGTTAACCGTTATTGAAATGTCGAACGTTAAGCAAATAACCGAATAGTGTTATCAAGAGAGAATTAGTTAGGTTCCCTCTTTAAGCTGATGTTCCATTAGATAACTTGTTAGATATCCTCTTTACGCTGACATTCCAACAAATACAATGAAAAAATCCTTCAAGGTTTGAAGACGGTGGTGGTTTTAAAGTTATTGTATGTGCCCTTAGAGAATGCAAATACAAAAAAAATTATATAAGACAATGTTGGATATGACTGTATTGACTTAGTATTGGTTTTTGCTTAAACAAATGTCAAATGGAATAGACAGAACTAAAAACCAATCGTCATTGTAGAAATGGTTTATAAAAGGTTATGCTAATTATCAAGCTTGAAAATTACGTACTTTTTTAGATTTAAAATTGTTTTTGTTAAAGAAAAATATTTAACTTTATTTCCAAGAATTTTGCAATGAATAAATTACTTGAAAACTGAGATTTCGACTTGAAAAAAAGTTGTTTGACAGTGAATAATGTTATATATGCAAAACTGAAAGCGTGCACATGAAACCCCGATCCAAATTTTAACATACTATACGAAATAGGGTTAATCGTAGTTTAAGGTAATACGATGACGTGCAGCTGTTTACATCGTTGTCTTTTGATCGTAAAGGTATGTTTTCTAATATCATATCACAAAATATGATAAAAAGGTATAAAAAAATACCGAACTTTGAGGTAAATTCAAAAAAATGAAGTCTATAAAAACCGACAAAATAAAATGCTATCAATCTACGGAACAAGTGAAAAACAACTGCCATATTCCTGACTTTGGACAAGTATATTGTAGGGTTAATTACAAGAAAAATGGAAATTATGATCATCAGGTTAAAAAGACAAAAACTGCTATGATACGCGTACACCCATAGAGTGGACGGAAAAACGATATTGTATCGCTTTTGTTGAAATAGTATGTAATTTATTAATTAATTTTTGATCAAGTTTGCAGAATAATTTAAATCTGCCAGTTTTTTCTAAATATAGATAAGATATCAGAAAGTGTATAATTAATGCTATGTTTTATTCTTTTATTGTGATTAATATAGTACAAATGCCACGAGATGCATTAATACGGTTTATTTTTATCAGAAAAATTCAAGATATCAATCGAGATGCTTTAATATATTTCTCTGTAATAGGACACAGTTCGTAAATTTAACGGACACTTCAAATTGTTTATGTGAATGTCCTTATTGTTTCTAGATAGAATCGAGTAGGTTATATAATTGATTTTGTGTTTGTGTTTTCCTTAATGCTAGCAAATTATTTTTTTTAAATGCTTAGGCTAAGAAGCTGTATAGATGCTTTTGTTGTCTTTTTAAAATTATGTCGATTTCTGAATTGAATTTTCAACCTATTTCCATAAGCGTTTATGTTAGTTAGCAAAAACTAGTATGAACCACGAAAAACGTGTTTCCTCACATTGGGAAAATGCAGATCAACTCCAAGTAAAGGTGAAAAGTGTGCATAGTTTTCGAATGTTTTTTTTTTATCTTTGAAGATTAAATTCATGTGATTACGTTCATTGCATTTTCAGCTTGTATAGAGTGTCAATGGTACAGTTTAAGCGCTAATATACCTTTTAAGACCTAATAACTAAAAAACATGTATGTCTCATTAGAATCCGTAATTTGGATTTTCTGGCAACAATCGTGAGACACTCCAATATCATGTTTTATTTCCGTATAAAATACAACAGCTATGACTGTATGTGCTGTTCGTGACAATGTTAAAATAATGCATTTTTAAGCAATGAAAATCTTGATCTTACTCTTAGTTTAATGGTCTAGCATAAACATGTAATTGTCAGAATTGAATGTTTCTCTTTATAGTTATAATTGGTTGCAAATGCTTTTCATACAAAATCTGCTTCGGTCAACGCTTTTACAACCCAATAAAATTATGAAAAGAAGCGTTCAATTCTGAATTGAGTTCGCGTAGGGGTACACATGGAAAACCGTATAGGGTCAATTGTGATTAACTTGACTACACTATAAATACGAGAAAACATGGAATGATCGGAAATGACATTTTTCCAGTAGAGACAAAATGACGTACATATAATCAATTATTTGTTACCGTCCCGCCTCCAAAAATTAGCAAAACTCATGCTGAATAGTGAACTATAACATGACAAAATGTGAAACAATTGAAACGAGGACACCAACGGCCTGATTTAATTACAAAACAATAATAGACAGAGAATAACGACAACCACTAGTTTACAGACTCCTGACATATACAGAATGTGGATAGATTAAACATGCTTGCCCGCGCTTAACACCCCCTTTTTATTAACCAGGACTGTAGTGTACCAAAAGAACATAAAACAAACTTTAAAAATCAGTCAAAAAAAAGTCTTGACTTATCAGATCGACACAAAGTTTGGAAAAACAACTGACAAAAGACTAACGACAATTATCACCAATCTAAGAGTGCTCACAGTTACTGAAAGCTTGTTCAAAGCCAATTACAACTGATCAATAAATCAGTTTTCCCAGACTAGAATATCAAAAAGTTCGGAAAATAAATGGGACGTATCTAATTTTGCAACATCAACGGAAAAATGAAGATGTGATATACTATTTGCAATAAAGTTTCTATTAGTAAAGCCAAACGTCCAAACCAAATATTAGTATTATGATATTGTTGTGTTTTTGAATAATTTGGGGTCCTCAACGCTCGTCCTCTTCATTTGGCCTTTTTAACTTTTTTGATGCGAGCGTCACTGGTGAGGCTTTTGTAGACGAAACGCGCGTCTGGCGTTCACAATTTTAATCTTAGTGTCGATGATGAGTTTATTTTCCAGTGGTACATCACTTACGTTCATTGAAACCTACAATATGTTTAAATGAAATGCGATATTTATAGATTATCGATGGTTTTTCAAACCAGAGGATGTTTCTCAGCTACAATCTCATCAAAGGGCGACAGCCCTGAGAGGAGATATGGCTGAGAAACATCCTCGAGTTTGAAAGACCATTGATAATCTGTTTATCGCTATTTTGCCTATGACGTCGTTGATGTTTACAATGACAACGCCCACGTGCACCCTTAGTTTCTGTCAATAAGTTTCAATAACAAGCGAGTAGCATGATATGAAAAATTATCACCAAAAAAATACAAAGGAAAAAAACACAAAATAGCGATAAAGTTAGTATATATATATACCGTAAGATAGGGTCACAGGAACGTACCAGTCCAAAAAAGGAAAATTAACTAAAATTGAAAAATCGGCGCATTTGTCGTAAATTTTCATATTGAGCTTCCCGTGTGAGGAACTGAAATAAAAAAAAATATTTCCTTTTTTTCAGTTTAATGTTAAACTTTGTTTTAAATGAAATAATAGTAATGTGTGCCCAAGCTTACATTAAGGGTGGTATGATCTGTCCACCTTTTGGATCTCCTGTAAGCTAAGAAGTAATTTGTGTTTTTATGCAAATGTGAACCTGATCAGCTATCAAGTTATATTCAAAAATAAATTTACTTTTAAATACATACCGATATTACCAGGCAATTTACTTGGAAAGGAAATCAGTTTTGCAATCCCTTCTCTCTCATAATATTTTAATACTGCATATGCATCTTCATTTACTTGTTGTAGCGATATCAGTACTGTATCTACACCCATCATTTTTTGATATTCGAACCATTCAATAAGATGCAATGGATTTAGATAGTTATAAGCTATTTTAGCACATATTGCAAATTTCTTTTCCTTTACTGATGCATATATTACAGGATGAAGAATATGAGAAGAATTACAAAATTCCATTTTTCCTACCAATTGTATATGCTTCATCTTGAAACGTATGTTGCGTACATAACATAGATATTGTCTTGCTATAAGATCGGCAAATTTACTATTATGAGTGTACGTTTCTTTCACAATTGCATTTTGGCGATGAGTAGATACTTTCTCGTCTCCGTAAATACAGCAGTCGCAATTGGAATGGTTAGAGCCGTCTAGAACATTTAAAACTACAAATTCTATCTGACTCAAGTCTTTTTTTGCATGTGCTACAGCAGAAAAGATATGCACAGTTTCAGAACAAGATTCGATATTCTAAAAAAAAGATGATAGGCAATTACAAAGACATAATTACAAAAGAGTACAATTCTAGTATATATAATTATATGATATATAATAAAACAGATGTCGTTTACAAATTTAAAACTTCATATTGCATACTTTCACTATTACCTTAAATGATATTTAACCAGGATACATTGAATAAAAATCACTATCTGAATATATTCATGTACACAAACCACACAATGAATACAAAGTTATTTACATATTTTTAGTTAAGTATGGGTTAAACACGTGCGTATATCAATCAATACGTGGTGTTTTAATACTAGATTCAAATTGGTTATACGCGCTGATCCTGAAGATCATCTTTGTTAAAGGATTGTGATTAAAGGTTTTGTAAGTTGTTTATGTTGCCAAAACATAAGAAAATTGTCATATAGTAAACAGAATTGACCGGCTGTACAAAAAGAAGGTGATAGTTCTTATCCACTCTTCAAAATACTTATCGAAACTGCAAATTGTCCTTTAACAGCTTCGTGATAACAATGTCGTTTCCAACTTTGAAAGTTTTCATCGCTTCTGAATGGCGGATTTATAGAAGAAAAGCGATCTGTGTCTGAACTATTATGTATTCATACGCTTTTTATATCCACGTGAATCAATGGTTGATTGGTAGTAATAATTTAAAACTTCTCATTCCTGTCCACAAAAATTAGAGACAAAGGTAAGTTTGTGATTCGTAAAGTTTTCACTAAACGTATATTAATTATCTTGATTCTACCATCCCACAATACGACTGAAATCCAATTCAATCACGAATTTAGTCCGGACTTATATGAAAAAAAATAAAGTTGGTTAGAGCCAGATTTGTCCCAATGTTTTGGGAGTTTTTGGTTTCAATGCTTGTCAACTTGATTTGCCCTTCCAACAATTATTCTCAGTAGTGACATTATAGAGTGTTGTGTAGACAAAACGCACTTCCGTTGTACAGAATTGTAAGATTATGACATTTGACAACCACTATGACATTGCTCGTAGACGTTTTGTATCTGAGGTTATCACAATTGTAGGCTGCATATTTATAACACTTTGAAATTATTTGAAATACAAAATATTCCTACCTAAGCCATAGATGTTTTTTTTTTTTTCTTACCTTTCCCACTGATTTGGTCCTCTAACTGTTTTGATATTAGAGCAATTTACTGATTCTTGTATAGCTTAATCACGAGTCTGACTTGCAAAGATGTATACTAGTATTTTTGGTCGGTATTTTTAACTTGTGAAAAAGATGCTGATCACTTGGGTCAAATTGATATTTACAGTAATGTATTTGCAAACTGGATATCTGAAGTACATAGTTATAGTTGAATTGAGTTGGTTTTGCTGTTCTTATTACGATATTCAAGTTCTTTGTAATGTACAAATTTGCAGTAAAACATGTTATGAGAATCTAATAAAACATTATTTTCTGACAATTAAATTATTTTAAATTTTAACACATTTGCTTTTGATAAAATTGTAGGTGTTGCAAAATTCAAACTTACCATATATACTGTTTGTTTTTATCGTAATATACTCTCGTCAACATTTGTATTTAGAATTTGGTTATTGATTTAAACAATCGTTGGCCTCGATTATCACTGAAGAAACATTCATGGTCTTTTCTTATATCAGGTTTAATTTGTAGTTATAAAAAAAACTTATCATAGATACCAGGATTCAAATTTTGTACACCAGACGGGAGTTTCGTCTACAAAAGACTAATGAGTGACACTCAAATAAAAAATGTTGAAATAAAAAAAAAGTATGAGTTGATATCATAGTACATTATCATAATCATGCTACATAGGATAAACAGAAGAAATATTGCACTGCAATGCCTCCTCACTCTTCAAGCTCAAAATTAGTATATATACAACTCCTCCAGGAAAATATAGGTAACAGTAGTTTATTAATGTTCAAATCTTACAGATCAACCAAGGAGAAAAATGAAAACAACAAATAAAAACTGAGGGAATCGCATTAAATCGTTAAAACGAGATACGGGGCGATGATAAGGTAGGTGTTACTTGGTATGCATGCATCACACTGCACGCTAATCCCACTCAAAATGTCACTAACAGGAATAGGACACAAATGTAAAATATACAGATTAGACGACTATTCTGGTATCTTAAGATATAAAACATGTCGCTAACGAGTTGAGACGCAGACATATCGTATCGGACAACAATACGATTATCAAGAAACTAAGCTTTTAACTCCTTCAGACAAAGTTGTTATTGGTGGATCTGGCTATTGTCTTTAATACAACCGATGAGTATTATAGCTTAAGATGTTGTAATAATTTATTTTAGGTTCATATCACATATTCATATCATGTCAATATTTTATTCAACACTCATTACAAAAATAACGTAAATTTTATGATATTAAACTCATTATCTTTAATATAGATTCAAGCCCCCATGAAACGATATACAATAACAAACTAAGACAGATGATTATGAATTTAATTGACCATCTTACTTTCATTTAAGAAGATATCGAAATTATACAAATTCTAACCATCGTTTGTTTATAGTTTCATGTTTTGACGACTCTCAATTTCCCATTCGTGCATTTTCCCGTAAAATCCTTATTTACGCACGTCATTGTTCAATGACGTCATTTACACCATCTGACGTGAGGTTAATCATTCATCAAAAGCATACGACGTGGGAGTAGGATTGGAACACCCCAAACAAATCATGACGTTGCCTATCAGCTGACACATGAAAATATTAGAATTTTACCACGGGTGTGTACTCAAAGAACGTCATTAGAGAATTTTAGGCTTTTGACGTACTTTAACGTAAATTACCTTAGCATTTCAAACATTTTTATTGTTATCTCCCATTGGCAATTAAACTTGTAAATTAACTTCTTCCGAACGGTTTATATCATTACTAAACAATAGAATTACAAACAATAAAATGTCCATGATATGCACAATAGAGAATTTTGGGTTTTTGACGTACTTTAACGTTATTTACCTTAACATTTCAAATAAATATTTATTATTTCCCTATGGCCATTAAATTTGTAAATTAAACAAAAATCGTATATTTTGACGTACGTATTACGCCTAAACTTGGTCATTGTTAAATTGTGTCTCCCTTTCCCCATTTAGTTCAAATCTATTTTAAAATAGCATAGTCCACGATAGAAAGAGTTTTCACTTATATTTGGGCATACGAAAAGGCAAACTTTTTTCGCAGGGGACACTTGTATATTACAAATGATATATACGGTTAACAATTTTTCCTTTGTAGAAAAAGAGTTTCCTTTCAACTGATTTGTCAATAAGGCGTGCTGCGTTCAAATAGTATACGGGAATATGAGTTTTCTGAACGTATTTTTTCTAAAAAGGATAAAGTTGATAAAAGTTTAATGACACAAGTTCAGTAATTTAGGTAAATATATACCCGCAGATTGTAATGTTTTTCTAATATTTAGGCATATTAAAATACCCTGATTATTTGATTATCAGATCGTTTTGGGGGTGATTATTTGATTGCCATTAAGGGTTTTTGTTCACATTTGTAAGTTTACCCCATAAGATTTGCCTGTACACGGTGATACCGAATACTCTTTAAAAATATCCGGAAGACCGTGTACCGAAATTAATTTCATTTCAGTCAAAATCAGGTCCAGATATATTTTCATCTTAAAACACCCCAGCAACCCTGGAATTTTTTATGTACATATAGTAAATTGTTTTTCATAGTATAAGAAGAAAGGAAAACAGTCATAATTTTACTTCACTGAATAGCATCTGCAGTGTATTATTAATTTTTGGTAAAACATTGGCCTTTTTAGAAATAAAATCTTTAAAAAAATATTCTTATTCTAGTAAATTGATGTTCGCAAAGTGCCTCAGTATAAGGGCAATGTGTGAACAATTTTTTTTTAATGAAATATGCAAAGAGCATTGCAGCTACATTTTAAATTTTGATTATTATTAAAACTTATTTATAAACAAATAGCTTGCCTATTTCACAAGTAGTTTTTTTTTCTAATCAGATGAAGGTTTACTTTTTTGGTATGGTTTAACTATTTGGATCAATATTTTTAATGGGCCTCACAGTGAAAAAGTAATTTGTAAACAAAAAGTTCCTCTGCAGTGATATCGGACATGTTTGCTGCAATACTTAAACGTTACAATTTCTTAACTTATCTACGATGCCAATGAAAAACAAAATACAAGTGTCACTAGTGGAGCAGGAAATGCCTACATTTCCGATGATCTAAAGATTTTTATTGTTTGCATTATAAGTAAGGAGTTGCATTTGTTTTACTTTTCTAGTTTGTATTTTGATCTGTTGTATTTCCAGTGTGCCTATATTCGGGTATCAGTCTTGCCTGTGCATTTTTTTAACACCCTTTTGATATTTAAAACTTTCAGTTATGCTATTGTATGAGGGATTGTTACTGAACGAGTCCCTCTATTATTAAAGATCTGTGTTGTATGTGTTGACTGCTGTAAGTCTTTTTGTCGGTTGGTTTTTTTTTCGGTGGTGATAGTGTCTGTATCGTTGTCTTTTACCTCCTTGGTATCTTTTTTCTCTCTTTTTTCTCGTCTGTTTCTGTCAATTCTTTACATATCAATCAATTGTTCGAATATTTTTCAAAATAAAATAGAGCGACTTGTATAGGTCTTTTTGTCACATAACTCATATGGGTGCAGCGAAATTACCCTTCCCAGGCTTTCAAATGTTTCGGTTTGAATGGTTCTGATCGAGGTAAATCCAGAAAGCCGCTTCGGACGCAGGGAATGTATGATATGTTTGTTTTATTTCCTATTTATCAGCAGTAACATTCACTCTGCTCGATCGTAGGCTGTATACATATCTCAATAAATACGTTAAGCTACAGTTTGTTCATCCTAGCCGGACTTCAAAAGCAAGATAGTGCTTTTCACACAAAAGAGATACGTCGAAAAACGACTGAAATCGACGCTACATTAGGGTTACGACCACAATCACGAA